AAGATGTGCAGTTCAAATAAAGTGAACCAATGAATTAGGAAGCTCCCCAAGACTTCATGCAACACAATGGTTTCTTTGGAAGGATAAATCTCTTTCATGCATTGCAGAATGAGAAAATAGGACTTTAAAATGAAATCTTAATGCATGTTTTTGTTAGTTATCTTTGATTATCTCCTATGTGCCTTTTACCAGTTCTCTCTAAAGGTAGAGTCATTTCGTCTGCAAGGTGACATGCAGGTAAAACCTCAGACAAAAACCTATCTCCAAATCCAGTCCTTCCATGTCCTTAGTAACCTTGGATAATATCCTGGTCCCTTAAAGTCAAGACAGCATACACCTATGTATGAACACTGAGATACTAACGCTGTTGAATGCTTCTCAAAATAGGGATTGACCTATAGACTGAACCATAGTCCTGGCAGTGAAAATAAATCTTTAGAAGACACTTTTAATTGCAGAGAGCAAGAGGTAAATTTTTTTTCTTTCTAGATTTGTGGGTACTGTTGGGTTCATCTTTTCTTTGGTGCTTACTTTATCTGTACACTGTTTCACTTAGAAGCAATGCACCCATGAAATGGAGATAAGCTGTAGTACCTGAAACTCAATGGCTCTGTGAGCATATATTCATTAAGGTTAATTAATCTTGAAGTAGCTCAGCTGTTTCTACAGGATACTGAACTACATAGTTATTTTGTAAGGCAAAAAAGGTCTCCATATATTCACAAAAGGTGTAACCACAAGACAGAAACAATTTGGGGACTGAAGTGCAGGTAGCCTTGTTACCATAAGAGATAGTAATTAGGAATAAGTGTGAACCTGAGTGAAAGCTGTGCGAAAAGGAACCCGCTCTGTACTGAAAGCTATGAGTGAACCAAAGAGCTGAAGTAGATGAAAACACTGGCTTAAAATCATTGTTTCATTTGAAACATCAAAAAAACCCACCAATGATCTTTTATAGGACTTGAGAATATGACACTCCTCAGAGGGCTTTTTTTTTTTAGATCAATCTGTTGTATTCTTTGCCTAATTAGAACAAACTCTAACACAAGGAAATGAAGTCCTTCCATGGAAGAATGCAAAGCTGGTCTTAATAGTTTAATTTTCTTTTTACTAATACCTCTGAAAGTGATGTAAAAAAATACTCCTGTTAGAGAATCTAAAACTTCCTCTATGGACCATGTTGAAATGTTCTGCAGCATCTCCATACTGCCATTACAAAGAGTAACACAAACTGGATGAGGTTCCAAACAGGCAATTAGTTTGCCATTGAAGCATAACCAATGCCTCAACTAAAACAAGCAAACAAGCAGTCAAACACGTTAACATAATTTTCTAGCATTTCTTTTTGATGTGGATTGGATGGAAAAATTCTGGGATGCAAGCCATGATGTAGATTTTCAAAATTGATTAGCATTTTTGGACAGGGGCAGCAATTTCTATGGTGGGGTAATTTATTTTAAGCTAAAATTGATTAGTGTTTTTTTTGAAAAATGTGCACCAAAATTGCTATGCAAATCAAGGTAAATGGAGCCATGAAATGATGGTAGAAACACAAACTATAGTAACATGGTAGCTCAGCCTAGTGAAGGCCAGTCAATATGGCAGTATATATAAGATAACTGTGAAGAGTTTGCTTTGATTTTAGATTAGTGATTTATAATTGTGTAAACCATCATATTGTGGACGAAAGGTTGTTGTGCTCATTGTCGTAACATTAATAATGGATAAATTCACTTTAATTCTAGTGTGGATGGAAATACAATTCCATATAAATTCCATTTGTAGCTTAATGTTACTTTAATGTTTTGGTGACTTTAAGAATTGTCATTGTGAATGTTCAGTCAATCCCAGCTGACTGCTAGTATAAATGAATTGTATTTCTGCAGTTCTTTGACTTTCTCTCTATTTCCAAGATACACAAATGATCCATACAGAAACTATGTTCTTTTGGTGTTATCAAACAGAAACAGAAAGTTAAGGAGTGAGTCATACCAGGGCAATTCTCAAAAGAATGAGATCCTGCAAAGGTCAGCTTTTCTTGCTCGTCAATTGTTGACATTTAAGCATTTATTTCAGACGTTGCTGATAATGTTTTTGGAGATAGTGGGGAAGAATTGCTGTGGTGGTATGCAATTATGAGCATAATGAAATGCAAAAATGCAAATAAGGTGATACGTGCCAGTCCTTTGGAGTGCCTTTTGTCAGAATTGCAGGCACCATGAGACTTTGATAGATACCATGTCAGTACTCATTGCTAGAGCTGTGATATCTTTTAAAGAAGCATCTCTAACATGTTATCACTGGATGCTAATTAGAAGTAACCTTTGAAGATGAAAAATCTAGAGGTCATATTCTCTAAACTCTAAAACCAGCATTGAACTAATTGTGTCAATATCATTTTGCTGCACAAGCCAGCACTACCCTTTTTAAGGCTGTCTTTATACATCAACACTGTAATATCCAGTCCAGTGATACTCAGCATCCCTTCTCCCCCCTTTTTTCATGTGGTTATACCCTGCTCATTAAAGCTCTGCATTTTTGGGTAAACCTTGAAGATATATTTTTGCATATTCCTTAAAAGCTGTAGACACTGTCCAAGGTCTTCATAACTCAGGATGATATTAGATCAGAGAAAGAACAGTTGGATAGAATGGATATGATAAGCTACAAATACACTGAGGCTGAAAATCAGAAAAAGAGCGGCTGCTGTAGTGGAGCAATGAAGCAATAGGTGTAAACTGTTTTGGTAATGTTAAGATGGAATTTACTACTTTTAAGTTGTTTTTTATGACATAGTTGCCTGCAGTAACTGGGACATGACTTTGATGAACTAGAAGGTCCCAAGTTCATAAAAAGTGCTGGATTTTCACACTCATGTACCATACCTTTTCAAGCAAACAAACCTATTTCATACTTTAGACTAGAATGAGCATGCTGGTCTGATAATGCTGATCTTTCAAAGCAGATGCTTTAAATTCAGCATTTCAATCATTCCATTAATTTTGGCATCCTGAATCACACTTCCTGGAATGACTTCCTACAAAGGAAGGCACTTAAAAAGTTCACCACTGTTTTGGAGCTGGTATTTCAGCCCATTAGAGATTCAGACTCAAAAGTCTTCATGGTTATTCCACCTTATAACATTGGGTATGGATCATATTTTGTTAAGTGATCATGACCTAGAAATGATAATTAAAAAGTTGTATCTGCAAGTTCTGCCCATCAGAGGAGCAGGATTCAGGCATGTGAAATATTCAGATTTTGTCTGACTGCAGACAGGTTGATTCACTGTTACAAACTCAAAATACACTCAAATGTCAGATCCAGGTAAATGTGAAATAAAAACAGAAAACAAAAGGAGGAAGTACTTTAAAACAGGGGACTGTCTTAATGAGTCCTTGTACCAGTTAGCTCTTGTAATTCCCCTAGAATCAGGGATGAATCAGTTCCTGAAATAATTTCTTCAAAAAATTGTTTCTGTTGCCAAATGTTCCTGTGAAACTGAGAAGAAAATTCCAAAGGCAAACACAGTTGTTCAGCAGCCACTGAAAAAGGGGGCATGTTGAGCTTAATTGCATAGAATAGCTACAGCTGTCAATACTTTATTCTCCTTTGCAGCATCTGATGTATTCAGATTTTAAGTTTTTGACATGGAAGCCTTGAAAGAAATAGAATATTTTCTCTGTTTGTGGGTTGTTTTGCATACAATATATATCAGCTTTGATGTTATTTCACCAGGGAGCTAGTTGTCAATCCCTGTGTATAATACTTTCCAAAACTTTTAATGTGGTTTTCTTTTATGATGCTCTCTCAGATAGAAAGCTAATGTACTTTGGCTACCAACTTAATCAATCCTCATTATAATTACACTGAGCATATTATCAACTTTGTATTGCACTCAAAATTACTTGCCCCTGGGGAACAATGCTAATAAGAATACGAAACAGATCTCAGGCAAAACTTCTGTCTCTCATATTTCTTGAAGATTTAATTTTAGAGGGCTATCTTTGTCACTTTTGAAATAGAAGATGCTGCATTCTGAAAACCCCTTTCTTCCTCTGTCTTTCGTATTTGTCTGATAGGTTCTAACCATCATCTAAGGCTCCCATGTGCTATCATAATGAAAGTGATAATTTTTAGTGTTACTGGAAGACTGTTTTACCTCTGTCAGAAAAGCTTGGCTGTAATGCGAAATCTCTATTATACCAGGACCAACTAGATAAATTAAAGTGATGAGCGTACACCTGCTACTTTAGTCCTATTTTCTGCAGAATGTCAGTAAATTTAGCTTATAGGACTGTTAAACTAAAAAGATGTGGGGTGAAATCCTTACTGAATTTAGAAGGATAAAACCATTCACTACCCATGTTTGCAAAGTTTATTTCCAGTTGTCTAAATGAAAGTTAGAGAATTCAACTGTTTTTACTGTCATACTTCCCAGTATTCCATTTCACTATCAAACTGGGACCAAACACATATAATCAAGATTTGTCCTTTGCAAGGATTGCTGCTCTGTGTTACAGTCCAGGGAGGGATACTATGAACCAGGGCATCCTTGTGTTGGATCTGTGTCTCATCACTGTTTATTCCTAAATATGCCAGTTCAGTTCTGCTACTGGGTGTAGAGACACAAAGTCCAGCCTGTGCCTCATTCTGCCAGCTTTGTTTCTCATCCAGAAAAACATGAGCAGCTGCCAGGACTGGGTTCAACAAGGAGTGACTCAGTTTTGGAACTTACTGCATTTATTTGTGGCTTAATGACATTGCAGCAAGTAAAATTAATGGTTAAGCTCAGTTCAAGACCTAAGAACTAGATGAAGTTTTCTAGTGGAGGTACACGCTCTCACCAAAACACAAAAACCCCACGAGGGTACATTGCTTGCCTTCTTGGTCTAATAGTCTGTCTGTACAGATTTCCCCACAGCTCTAAGAAGGCTGCTGATAATTGTTTTTCAGTGAAACAGACTCTAGACTGATTTCAGATCTAATCCCCAGTCAATTTGACATTTTTATCTGACATATAGTTTGAAGGAAAAGTCCGCACAAGTGGCAAATGGTTTCTCTTCTTCGGAAAGGCTGGGAACAGTATGATTTATTTTCCTTCATTCCCACTGAAGCTTACAGGCGTTTTTCTCATACTGATGCTGTTAGGGATATGATAGACATGAAATCTACAAAGTTGGTAGCATATCATGAATTGGTTTGTTTTCTACACTGTGTTCCTTCCAGGTGTCATAGAAACAGAAAGTAAAATGCCACTAAGAAGCTGTATTCTGACCCAGTGCATCCTTTCTCATTGAAAGTATACAGTTATCTCAGCCTGGGTTTCTTAAAAATTAGGTTCGTGGTCCATACAAAGGAGGAGAACATCCATCTGCAATGTATATAGTAACCCATTTTTTTTTGTGGAAGGAGGTAAATATACAATAAATTGACATTTGCATTGGATGGCTGTTGTTTTAATGTTCCCCTCCTTTACTCCTAAATTTGTTTCTGAGAACAAGCGCATGTGGCTACTGTGGCATTCACCTGTGCTGCAGTGCACTCTGAAATTCAGCACTCTAAATAAAAAGACAAACGTCTGAAGCCTACACTGCCACGTCTGTGCCAGGTGAAGATAAATGTGGCTCAGCTTCCTCCCTGCTCTGACCAGCCTGCTTTTAAAAGACATATTTATAATTCCCATCACCTGAAAAAGTCCAGATTTGCTTTTTAATTGAGAAAGCCCACGTGCTCATATAAATGCTTAAAAATCTTTTAAAATCACGTGATTTAATGTAGTCAAGGTAACCCATGCAAAAGAAGAGCCGCTTGGCAGACTACATTTCCCAGGATCCCACCTAGGTGGAAGCAGAGGGCACAACCTGCTCCCAGGTATAAATGCTCACATGTGAGTGCCCGAGGGCACAGTTGGAGCCTGTTTGGGGTAGCTGGTTGCTGGTTTTGGCGCAGAGACAGTTGCGCGGCTCCAGTGCGCCTGTGTGAAGGTAACTTTCTGGCAATTATTACACGTTTTTCCAATGTCTAATTGCTTCCTTCAGTATCTACTTTTCTTTTAATTAATGCTTTTGCTCTTCTAAGAGCCATAAAAGCATGTACTTTTTAAAATATCCTGTTTCTTTGTGCTCACTGCTCCATGTTTTGCTGTAAGCTCTGTGTATGTCCTGTGCTATCGTAAGACAAGAAATGTCCTCCTGGCTCTCCTGTTGAAGTTGGTTGTAACAGAGTTGTGAGTACCTGTGTTTCTGGTGGCAGGTATTTATACTCCTTGGTCTAGGCAGTGAATGCTGTAACTACAATAAGCTGCTTCATCCTAATAAGTATTAGGTTGTGAGCTAGTTAATTTCAGATGCTTCTGTGCCTGTGAACAGTGATACCCAGGGGTGGTGGTGGCTTCAGGGGTGCCAGGGGAGAGTGTTAAAGATCAGTTTCTTTGAAGTCTTTGCTTCCTTACTGGTTCCCCTGCCTTAGTTTTTGGGAGAGAGTGAGAACACATCCTAGTCCATCCTGCTCAGACATGGCCTGTCTGACCCAACGGATGCTGCTGAACTGCATGATTTCTACCTCTGGATTCTCCAGTGCAAGCAGCCAATTTATGGTTTCTTCCACTGATGAGGGAAGCAGCTCTTTGTGCCCTTTAAGCCCCACTCATAAAAGTCTGGACTTAATTTGGCCCATGTGAATTAGGCCTGTAAAAACAAAAGGCAGGTGATGTTTGCAGCACCGGGCTGACTGAATAAATCAACTCTATTATTTTCTTTTTTTCTTTTCTTCTTTTTTAATATGTTAATGTGATACAGTGAGCCTAAAATAAAACACTCATTAATGAAGGAAAAATAAAGCGCCTCATGAACTGTATGCCACAGCCATGCATGTGACACTCCTCCACTTTATTAGCCTGCTGCAGTACCTCACCAGTGATCTCAGCCTGCTGAGCTGGGCTGCCCATTTGTTCCCTGGGCTGGGAGGGTAATTAGTTCTTCATGCTGGCTGTGTCCTGGGCCTCTCCTGAGCAGAAGCTGACAGCCATGTGTAGCATTGTGATGTGGAATACCGGTCGTTAGGGACAGAGCTGAGATTACCTATCTTATTTCCTTTCTGACCTTAGGTCAGAACTGAAGCACAGTCCCCGAGGTGAAGGGCTTTTGCTTTGTACCTAACACCACCATGCTAACTAGCTCCCTCAGAGCTGGCACCTTAGGGAGACAGCAAATCTAAAATAAACATCATAACTAACACACGTAATGTGAATGAAATGGCCCTCTCTGAACAGAAACACACCGCCATTTTTGGCCAGTGTTACCAGGAAGGCAAAGAGAGACTTCAGTATGTGTGTTTTGACACTTGCATTAGTTGTAGTCTCAAGTCCATGTTCCTTATGCTGGTTTCATGGTGTAATTCCAAAGGGGAGAAAGAAACAAACCCAAATGTGCCTAAGTCAAAGACTACTTTATTTCTGGTGTAGAAAGAGTGTAACAGGGACTGATATTTCCCCACTGCAGGAAGTTCCAGAGTGTTACAGAGTTCTGTGAGTATAGGAGAAAGCTGCTGTGGGATTTTTGGAGAAAATATTGCTATGCCATGGCTATGCTCTCTGGCAGTCAAGATCACTGACTCCTACCTGAAGAGGTCTTCCTGTGGCATACAGCGGGGGATAGGGAGGCTCTGAAAGAAATGAGGCAACTGATGGAGCAAGGAGATGGCACCAGGGACCTGACAGAGAAAGGAAGGAAAAGAAAGAAGAACAGTTAGGCAGGTTTCTGGTAACAGTGGCCCAGAGTAGCCATGAGCCTGGGCTAAAGTGAGATGGCTGCTCTGCAATTATTTTCTCTTGGCTCCCCTTAGAACTTATGGGACCCAAGGAAGTCCTAACTATACCATTATAAGCAATACACATTATCAATTCAATCTTCCTAATAATCTGGCTCTAATGTGATTATTTCAGAATTAAAGAATCACATGCAAAGGAATATTCCCCCCCCGCCCCTTTTTTTGTTTAACTCATTGTTCCATTACTGAATCTACATAATCGTTATGTTCTGAGTATGGCAGAAACCTGTGCATAAAAACAAACAAAAGCATATAAATTATAAATCACCTCTTAAAACTCAGAGCTGTAATTAAAAAAATATTTGTTTTACTGAAAATTGCATTCAGGAAATCTTTATATAAAGCAAGATTTTTATCTCTGTATCTATATAATTTAAGTAATACAATAAACTTGATTAGTCAACATTAGTTGAAATCAGGAAATATCATGAGGAATTTAATAGTAGTGACTATTTTGTCACAATTCAGTATGTTATTTTACAGCTGGCTTCTACCACTGCTGGTAGGTAACTATGTGATATATAACTTGCAAGCAGTCCTGCTGTTTGTTACTGGCAATTAATTTCTCTGGTGCCTTTCTTCCATTCAGGCCAGGCCTTTATGTTCCAAATCCAGCTATTCTAATACTCCCCACTTCTGCTGTGTAGAAAAGACTCAGACTGACAGATTATCGCAGGGCAGTTAAGCATGTAATTGCTCAAATGAGTTAAAATCCCTTCAAATATCTGTCTTTGTACCTCATCACACCACTTCATGGACTCAAATATTTGACAATTGATGAAGATAAACTAAAAGGATCTTCATTAGCTACCAACCACCGTGACAAGCTTCTTTCAGCTAAAGGCTGGTGAAGTTTGGGACTTATTATCTACTTAAAAACTGCAGGAAAGCAGAAAAATACTTCAGTGTACTTTAGACCAGAGAAAACTAGAAGCTTACGTGGTAGCTGGGGTCAAACAAAACTGTGGTTTGCTAATCTAGAGCTGTACTTATTACAAATGTGCAGTAAAATACCCGTGGAATCTTACAGGATAAAAACATAAAGAAAGTAGTTCAAGCTTCTGGTAGCAGCAATCACCACAAACTCCCAGCTAATAGCAAATACCGTGATCTTATTCATTACACTATAAGTGTGCATCAAAAATCCATTTGTCAAATAATGCCCCCTTTTTATTGCAGTTTCCTTGGTGGGAATAAAAACTTTGACTTTTAGTACAGCCACCTGGATTTCAGGTGCTGGTTTTGAGGATGCTGGACATCATTTGCACCTAACAGAAAACCCAGGCCGGGGTGGGCTGGGCAGGCTCATTGCTCACATACAAGAGATCTGATGATGCCCCAAGTCACCTTACATCTTAACCACTTATGGTTTTATGTTGACTAGGAGTTTTACAATCAGCTGATCATGATGCTGAAGAGGACTGTTGAAGCACTGCAGGAATTATTGGATGAAATCATAGCTACATGGAAATAAGAGGGTGCTGGTCTGTTGCTTATCAGGGGAAAATGCTCTATGAGTACCTATACGTGTCCATGGCACACGTATGCTTTATTTTCACTCTTCTGCATAGCAAAGAACAGGTTTTAAAGTGTAAAAAAAGATTTATACCCCCTATAGGAAGGTAGGTATTTGACCTAAGATGAGGTGAAGTGGCATGAACAGACAACACTGTATTTAGTATGAGGTCTACTGAGACAAAGTTGCACTGTAGGGTTTTGTGAACAGGCTTTAAAGGGTAGATGAGGTTTGTACTAGGTCAGTACTTTATAAAGACACAGGGTGTTTTAATGTAAGAGAGATAACTGTGAATAGCAGATGTTTTAGGAAGTTGTGCGTTGTCTACTATTAGACCTGTACAGCAAAGCACAAATCCATAAGATCTTTGCATGAATCAGCAATAGTAAGGATGCTTTCCTGAGTCTCCTAGAAAAATGCATTATAATTTTATATTCTGTATCATACCTGCTATGAGTTTTTAAACCATAATAAGTATTTCCTGGAACAGTCCCAGATTTTTTGTCCTCAGAATACCATTCCAACACAGGTAAATCTAGACGGTGCACTCCCACAGGTTATGCAAAGGCTGCAAATAACAGCGTCATCCATTCACAGTCTGAACCAGGTGGAAGAATCTTTCCCAAACATATTTGTTCTCATTTTCCTTGAGAACTGGTAGTTTGGGGGTCGGGTTGTTGATGTGCCATGGTGCTGTTCCACAGGCATGTCCTTGCACTGGCATGGATTGCTCGTGGGCTGCAGCCCCTCAGGGAAACGTGCTGCATCGTGGGGTCCCCCTCAGGCATGGCGTGCCTCCGAGCCTCCGGCCATGTCCCCTTCGCAGAGCCTCCCTTGCTCCGTTCAGAGCACGCTGCCCCCTCCATCACCCCCCGCCTCTCCTCAGCCCCTCACACTGCAGGGCCCTTCTTTCCCGCTCCCTCCCTCAGTGCCTGCTCCCGGGCTGGCCGCGGTCCTGCCGGTCAGAACCGGTCGGGACCGGCGCGGGGCGGTCTGAGGGGCGGTGTCCTCGCTCCCTCACGACGCCCTGCAGCCTCGGCACCCAAACCGCTGCTGTTTAGACCCAAAATAACCGCTGAACTCTGTCAGACTAGGGCTTGCCCTGTTGTGGTCTGTCACTGGGGGTTGTGTGACCATATTCCGAGGATGGGGGGAAAAATAATCGTTGTTGCAGTCACATTTACCTAAGTAAGGGTTTCTTTGTTGTTGTTACAACCATCTATCATGTTTATTTGGAATGTAATGTGTTCTATAATGTGTGGAAGGTTTTTTTCTGCAGTGTATTTAATTAAAATGGTTTCTGTGGTGGTAAGGCCCTTTTTGGACCTCTCTCTGGCTCTGTTAAAAGGAGGAACCTCTGACAGACTTTCCTGCTACTACAGACTTATGGTCAAAGAAATTGGTTTCCTTAATCTCTAGTGGAACATTGGACTTGTTGCATTTTAATCTACCACCTGGAATTAAAATATAGTGCTTCACATTTCAGGCATGTTTCAAAAAGCATGATGCCTAAGAAGCTTTGGGGCTTGTTCCTTCAAGGGTTGGATATTCTTTCATGATCATGATTCTGTGATCTTATTCACCACCTGTGTGTTTGTTTGTTTTCATAAACAAACAAGAATCTGGACCATCTGCATTGAGTCATGATTCTGTGCTCTTTTAAACCTAAACAAGCAAGCCTTAGACAAAACAACATTATGTTTTTCCTAGATCCAGCCACACACTGATGATCTGAGTGACCAGCGTAAACCGTTCCACTCCTTTAATTTCCTTCCACTGAGATGAAGCTTGAAGTGTTCTCCAAAAGAATTGTGCTTGAATCCCCCAGCTCATAGTAAGTTAAACTTTACACTTTCTATTGAAGTTAATCACACTTTCTCTTATGAGTAAGAATGTTTTTAACATGAAACAATACTCCACTGAGGTTTGACAAACTATATTTTAATTGTAATTGATTTGTACCAAAAGATAAAATGAGTTAATTAGGGCAAGCTATCAGAATTAGTGACAAGGGAAATACTCTATACAGCTGGCAGGTAGGGGGTAGGAGATGAGAGGTTTTGAAAGGGAATAGGACACTGGCATTTTTAACCTCCTAGTACTGAACTGAGTAATGAAAATATTCTACCTCTGGCTTTTGCACAGAGTGTGTGGTTTTTCTGTAATATGGAGTCTAGATAGAGGTTGAATGCAGTCCAGAGATTTAATTGGATCTTACTGGTACTCCTTTGTATGGTATGGATAGTTTTTTGTTGTTCCATCAACAACATAAGAATGTTTCTTCGGTCTCAGTTTCTAGGTGGTGTAAGCAAGGTTCTGCTTCTATTAAGGATGCCAAGCTAAGCATGTACTATCCAATATGAGTAAAGCTTAGGAAACAGTTCTTAGTTACTGGTAATGTTTCTGGTCATATTGACAAGTTCCAGTTCAATCTGTTGTAAGCAGGTGTCACTTTATGGTGCTTGGCAGTGGTGTGCAGTATGTCATCATTATGGCTGTAATTTGGTCATGGAAAGCTTAGTAAAAATCCAGTTATCATGGTGGAGGCATTACGTGGGGTTATCTTGTCATCAAAAATATGTCTTATGCGGGCTTGTCATTGTGGTGACATAAGTCATGGACTGTGCTAAAAATGAGATGTGCGTTTAGCTTATATATGCTCTTCAGGGTGAAGTGTTATGTGGGTAGGGCTGTGTCAGCAATCCAAGGTAAACCCTTTTTCCAATTTGAGCATAACAATAATTGCTGTTGTGTGAAGTAATATATGTGTGTTGTTCAAAATGATGCTTGCTTTTATCTGGAAAAAATACCCCTTTTTTTTCCAGTTTTATATGGAATTATTTTCAAAGTGGGTTGAGGTTTTTCAATTAAAGCTGTTATTCTGGTGTCAGAACATTCAAAACACAAGAAGCTGTATGATATTTAAGCCAAATTTAAGTCTATCCCTTGAAGATTTAAGCCTGGAAAGATTGCATTTTAGAATGTCAGTTGCTATGTGATACGTCATAGAAGAAATAGTATCTCCAGGAGATGCTACACATCTGAGATGCATGTATGCAGACAGCATGTAACGGTCACGGAGGGAGCACTGTTTCCCTCACAGAACTCTTGCAGGTAATTTGTACACTTTTGAAGATACAGTTGGATATTCTGGTTTAATATTGCAAGGCTGAAATTTGATGGGAAAGAGCTCGGAAAGTTATATGTATCACTTCAGGGATGATGAGATGGTCTAATTTACTCTCCTTATGGTCTCTATCAGAAATGTGTCCATGCCAACATGATAGGTTTCTCATTTTATCTGTACATGATTCAGGTAATTTGGGTTCTGCTATTGTAATATCTGAGATAAAGTAATTGTTTATGAACATTGGTATCAGAGAAGACTTTAAAATGTTATGGAAGTATTGTTGCATGTGAAGAAATTACTGTTGTTAGGAAAGGTTTAAAATCTACTAATGTTAATTTTGCGAATGAATCTGGGCTATCTGCATATTCCTGTTTGGTTTGAGTTGCCTTGAGGCCCTACAGCAATAGGAAAACTAATTAATTTGGTAAATTTTTAGGCTAAATCTCTTTTTAAAATTGGACTGTTTCTAATCACAAAAATATACCCAGCAACAACAGAGAAAGGATCTGGCAAAATTTAGTGCAGCCCTCTGCATTTCACCTTTGTCCTTCTCATCCTTTTGTGGAGTCCTTTTCCCCTGTTACTGCTCTCCTCCTGCATGACAGGTGAGGTTGGATGTGAAATAGTCAATAAAGTTTCTCATGTATATTTCAAAGAACAGCAGTCAATTAACCTTGAGAGAGTTGGACATTCTCTTGTCTATAACAATAGGCCAGTACGCTAAATGCAATCAGGCTATGGGGACATACGGAAAAAGCTTCTGGCACTCACATACAACTAAGTCATACTGAGGTCCTCTCCCTGCTTTTGAAAACACCTTTAAAAATATATTACCAAGAAATCTTCTAATCTGTAGCAGAATTTCTCCCAGTGCACCAGGATGTTGGTATTACTATTTCAATAGCAGCATATTAAATTCACCTTTATATGAGCTTGAAGACGGACAGGGGTCATTGATCAGAGTGTGGCTAAACAAAACTTGGTCAAAGATGCAATGAGACGAACTGTCAGTAGGATGAGAAGGTAGGCTGGATAATCATCATTAATCTTTCTAGTGATGTGGCCAGATTTAGAGTTTTCAGGCTTTTTGTAAGACCAGGTTAAACTGCTTTGTAATTTAAAGTTTGTTTTTACCAGTGATATCTCAAAGACAGGAAATAGTTTTGGGAGAAGTGTCAATAACCCTGGACTTCCCTTTTGCATTCTGGAAATCTTTTAGTCTGTTAACACATACCACTGTCAAGTCAGAATTGTACCCGTTTTCTTTGCTATAATTGTAGCATTCACATTTTAATAAGACCATAGGCATAAAAGCAACAAATTATGCCTTTAAAAGAAGAGTTGCTATTATAATGACCTAACTTTTTCTTAAATCAAAGATGCAGAGAATATTAGAGTATGGTATGTTGATTTTTAGGTAATATTCTTTTCAGGTGAGGAGTCTTGTGTGTATGTATGTGAAAGGCATTTTATATGCAGGAAAGATCACACGAAAGTAGCAGAATGGAAATTACTTTTTCATATCTGTTAGAAAGAAACCCCTGTAGACATTGATATCCTTGCAAGGACTCATCTTCACCTTATATAAGGACTGCAGTCATCTGGTTATTTTAAATTGGTTGCAAAATACAATTATACATAAAGCAGCGCAGTAGAGAGCTATATCAAATGCACTAGAGCAGTAAATACTGTTTTCAATTAAACACTAATCTAAAGGATATTATTTCACTGTCCAAGACCTCTCCAGATTTTTTTTTTAAACAAACATGTTTTAATTACAGAATTTCATTTGCTGGCTCTGAAAGTTTGTCCTTTTAATGAAGAAGATACTTTAAAATTGCTCACTGTAGTTCCTTGCAGAAGGCCTCATTCTGAATTTCATTAAGCACACAATCCCTTTGAAGTGTTCTTTTTTTAGTGAAAACATTATGAGGCCCAGAGTTTGTGGTATGATACTGAAAAGGAGCGCGGGTTAAAGTCTCTAACGAGGCAAATTAGTACAACTCTGATTTAAATGAAGTTGGTAATTTACTTCAAATGGGACTCTGAACAACTATTTTAAAGTCTGAAGGTGTAGTATAAGACTTAAGCATTTTAAAAGCATATAAATATGTACTTTTCAGTGTCTGAATTTTGGTTCAAATAAGATATTCACAGAATATCAAATAGGCTTCTTCCATTCTTGAAAGTGCCTTGTAGCCTCTATATTGCTGCGGTACTAATTACACTGCACTTTTTAGAGGTGATTAAACAGGTATCTGGTAATGAGATTCAACTGTAAACTACTGCAGAAAAATGGGCAGGTAATTAGAACTCTGTTCTCACCTCAGCTCAACAACATGAGCAAACACACCTTTCCTAGAGGTCACTCTGGGACAGTGCTAAACACCACAGTTATTTGTGTATGCAGTGTGCGTGATGCTGAGCTGCCTGGATTTGCTGTACAAAGCAGCAGTCAGTTTTAATTTTCAAGAGGCATATGCACAGAGGTATGAGAACAATGAATAAAATATGTTTTTGGAAAGTTACTTTGCAGGTTCTTGTTGGTCCAAATCTTAAATTCACATGATTGGCAGCTATATGGCAGGTAATCTATATACACACTGATGTTGTCAATACAAAAGAGTAATCAATAATCACTGAATTCGATAATAATAGATAGCCTCTTGGGTCCCTGTAGTGGCAGCAGTTAATACTGACTCTCTAAAAGAAGCTTTTCCATGTTCCCTGTGCTTTCTGGGAAAGTTTCCCAGACAAGAATTTCATAAAAAGAATTTATCAGGTTCATATCATTTATGTATTTTTTAATAGTTTTTTCCTTGAATTGTTCAGTGTTGAGGGCTGTTAAAATGATCAGGTGTAGCAAGAATAAATTATTTGTGAGCACTTTTAAGGCTCTTATCCATTCTTGTGATTGCACATCAGCACGTTAGACCCACCTAGATCCAATCCTGTTCTTAGAGATTCAACACGGGGAAGTTAGGGTGGGGATGGCATTGGCTTACCATCAAACTGATACTCATGCATGTGAATAAAATGGCATGCTTAATTTCTAAAATAGAGGCATTTTGTCCTTGAAACAGTTATTTATGTTTGAGAAACATTGTTCTAAGTAGTGCTGGGTTTTCCAAACACCTCTGGAATAGGTATCCTAATTCCATTAAAGGTTAATAGGCTTTGTATGCCTAAACCCCTTGGAGCCCTCTGAAAATCCCACTTGTAGGACATGGCATTATTGGTTTAAACCATTCAAGACCACTTTACTCATTTGCTAGAAGGACCCTACAGATTTCTTTGATCTCTTCCTGAGAAGTTCCCAGTGGTTTTGAAGGTATAACTGCTTGTTTAGGAAGCAGAAAGCTGCCACACACGCTGTGTTTAACCCTCATAGCATGTAGCTGTTGCAATGTTGTGAAGAAACTACATCTAAACCTGTAGCTGATAGTTGGAGTCCAGGTAGCACCTTTACCATAATCTAATAATGTCCAGCCACTTTAGTTTTGTAATCTGTTCTGTCTCTGCTTGTTTCATCGTCCAGGACTATGACCTCAGGGACACTGCTGCTCCACATGAAAGATTACTAGGCTAAAATTAAAACATGTAAGAAACTTGTTAAATGTTGTCGGGGTTTATAATTTAAAACTACTGTGTTATTAGATATTGGAACAGCACAAAAGGTAACTCGTGCAAAGGTTTTAACCTCT